TTCACATATTTTGCATTTTGCAATGATTTTCTCTAAAGAAACACCATCTCCTTCTTGTAGCAGTTTTTCTCTAATTTGTGTGTTATTTATTCCACAAATCAATACTGTTGTGGTTAATTCATCCTGAAGGTCTCCCAGCTTACAGTCCTTAAGTCCTGGAAAACGGGATTAGGTCGAAAATGTGAAAAACGTTGTTAGTTGCGAGATTTTCTATAAGGTGAGCATAGTCTTAATCGGCAAAGCGGCAATCCTAGTACCAGATTGTATTGTAAAGGATTACCCCAAATAATTTTGTTAAAATGTTTTTAAATCTGTCCTGAAATATTTCGGGAGTACTTTTGATACCATACGGAAGGCGAATAAATTTATATCGACCATATGCTGTTCCAAAAGTACACAAATTACTGCTATCTGTATCTATTATCTATCTATTCTCTTGTGAAGCATAGTCTTATCGCCAAAGCGGCAATCCTAGTATCAGATTGAATTGTAAAGGATTACCCCAAATCATTTTCGAACCTGCACCGCCAAACGTTCCAGTCAGAGACAAGGAATAACTAATATAATAATAAGGGATTATTTCTTGTCTCTGGTTCCAGTTCTCAGCCACATTGTCCATCGTTCGCATCATAGATAAAGACAAGTATGGTTAGGTATGGTAGGTTCGCATTGTTGGTACACCCCTGTTGTCACCCATTCTTGTAGGTTCTTATTAACACATAAACCAACTCACAACTGCGCCATGTTATGTTTTGTTGTGTGGATCGTGGTTATTTTATTATTAATTAAACACTTTAATATAGCGTTGTCATGATGATCTATATTCTTAACCTCACATTTACTGTTTGTCATCCGTCCTCGGCCCGTTGACATCGACACCATCCATCGACTTTTTTTTTTTTGTTGTTTGCCCGGCGGCTGGAGGAATAAAAATCTTCGCGAAGACACCCAGTGTTCCGAACCCTGGGTAGTGTTGGATTCTTACCAACTAAAAAACCCCCTTTTTGGTACTACGAGTTTTCGGGAGTTATCCTTTAAAACTTGTAGTCCTCTCTAAGAATTTATCAGCTCCGGCATCCGTATGCCATAGCATCGCATTCTCTCCATGCTAGCTGCTTGCTAGCAGGGGCATCTTATTAATTTACACCTTACTTCTATGTGCATGCTAATTGCTACCACAGATTACAGAGTACCGCTGTGATCTGTGATTACTACTAACTACATAACTGCACTTACAGCTTACGCCGTTTGCTACCTGTTGCCCTATTGGGCTGGTTGGTGTCTGGGCCTTTTTTTCACCAGATCTTCAGGTGTGTAATTTACAAGATTTCGTAGCTCTTCGTTGGAGTGCCTTCCAGCTTCCTCGAAGTCTTCAGCCGCTTTCCTTGTGAGAAACTCTCTTAGCGGCTCCCACTCCAGGTCCCTGTAGATTTGGGAGTTTCTAACAAACCAGGGCGCATCTATGGCCATCCGCAGAAGTTTGTTTTCTGTGGCCTGAAG